TAAGCCAAAGCTAGATGGCTGATGGACAAGAATGGTGAGTCATACAGTATACTCCCAGTCCCAAGACAGTTTTAAAAACTGAAGTTTTAATAAGCTTAGTATTAAAAACACACACAATCAGCCAATCCAACACAGCTTGCACAAGCCTTATTGTTTCTCAGTTCTTTCAGAGTGCAGCAAACTAGGGATGTTAAATATCGGTTAATTGAATAGTCAAGTAACCTCATGAATTCTTATCGGTTAATCAACTATTCTATAGTCCCTGGGGCCGGGCCCAGCAACTAGTGCACTCCAACCTTACTTCTGAGGAGCCCCCTGCCGCCCTGTGCTGCTGCCTTTAATATTAGAGACAGCAGCACAGAGTGGCAGGGGGAACTGGTCCATGAGGGGAGCCAGTTTAAAAACCAGTTCCCCTCGCGTACTGGCTGCCTGTTGCCCTGAGCTGCTACCTCTGATAATCAGATAGCAGCCCTGGGGAGGGGGAGAGGGACGGGGAGGGGCATGTCTCAGCTCCTGGACCCAGTGTGAGCTGGAACTGAGCCAAGCTACCTGCCCACCCAGGTGCTAATATACTAAGTAATATAATAATACTAATGTTTCTCTCAGTATATTACAGCATTCATGTTCATCTTCAGGACACAGCAACTGTGGTTCCTAATGTGCTTGCTATAGTTTTTCTTGGTTAAAACGAAACAACATATTTGATCAGAGGCATCATGCACTGATGGGTCTATTTAAGGTGACATTAGGCATCACAAAGCTATCACATTATTATCCCTCAAATCTGAAGTCAAAAGAAAACTCCAGACACACTGAGTAACAATCTGGGAACTGTACTGTGCTGTTCAACATATTCATAAATTATCTGGAAAAAAGTGTGAACAGCGCAGTGCAAAAATTTGCAGGCAATACAAAATTACTCAGGATAGTGAAATCTCAAGCAGATAGCAAGGCATTACAAAGCAACTTCACACAACTGTGTGATTGGACAACAAAATTCAAATGAATTCTGATTAAATTAATGTTGATAAATGCCAAGTAATGTACACTGAAAATCATAATCCCTTCTATACAGAATGGTAAAACTGTGCATGATAGGATCTAAACTAGCTCTTGCCATTCAAGAAAGGTCTTGGAGTCATTGTGCGGGAGTTCTCTGAAAACATCTGCTCAATATGCAATAGCAGTTAAACAAGCTTATAATGTTAGAAACCATTAGGAAAGGGGCATGTTAAGACAGAAAATATCAATTCTATTATAAATTCCATGATACACTAACACTTTGAAAATTCCATGTAATTAAGGTCATCCCATCTCAAAAATACTTATTAGAATCAGAAAGGTACAGAGAAGAGCAATAAAAATAATAATTTTTATTGTTATAGGGTAGAGAATGGCTTCCATATGAGGAGACATTAAAAAGGCTAGGTCTTTTCAGTTTGGAAAAGAGATGACTAAGGGGGTGTATGACAAAGGTCTATAAAATCATGAATAGAATGGAGAAAGTGAATAAGGAAATGAATTATTTACTCAGTCACATAAAACAGAAGAACCAGGAGTCAGCCAATGAAATGAATAAGTATCAGGTATAAAACAAAAGGAAGTACCTCACACAATGCACAATCAACCTGTGGAACTCATTACCAGGAGATGCCATGAAGACCGAAACTACAACTGTGTTAAAAAAATTAGATAAATTCACAGACGATGGATCCATCAATGGCTATTTGGCAAGGGGGTCAAGCGATGCAATATCATGCTCTGGATGCCCCTACACCTCTGATTGCCAGAAGCTGAATAATGGAAAAGATATCTCAATGATTACCTGTTTTGTTCATTTGCTCTCAACCAATAGGCACTGGCCACTGTTAGAAGACAGGCTACCGGGATGGATGGACCATCAATCTAACACCGTACAGCTATTCTTATAAGGTTAACCATTATCTTTTGTGGAGAACGGAAACAACGTGCACACAAATTGGCAGGACATGCTTCTAATCACATCAACATTACTCATGAAAAACATAGCTCCAAAAATGAACCAACCATTAGCCATTTCCTGACATTTATTTGACCTTTTTTTTTGTAAACACACAAAATACAATATCCTGAAAGATTTTAAGTTAAATTATCCTTAATGAGTTTTTATTGATTTTCATGTGTATCTTACAACATCAAAAACAGTCTAATATTATTTTCAGAACTTATGATTACTTACATTTCCTACCACATATGAACACATCCATACTAAGAATAAATTGTCAATTAAACCAACTTTAGAATAAATAGATTACACTGTATACTTAAGAGAGCCTTCCTCTACAGCAAAACGCTTTTCCCTGACTCATAGTAGTCACAATAGCAGGAAGTTTGCTGGCAGAGTGTTTACAATTGAAGGAAGCTGTTCTGCATCCACATAATGTGTCCTCCCACAGTATTAAGAAAAGATCATTTGATAGAAAATGAGAAAACTCAGTCAAAACACTTTATATTAATGTGAAATATAGACACTCGTAATATTACATCATTAATTTTAAAGATAGGCATACATCAAGCAGCTAAATATTGGCATTTTTCTCTAAGTATTCCTGCTTTCTCATATATCAATGTCCAAAAATCAATATAGTAAATAGGATCTAGTTTCTATGCCCATGCCATAGTTTAAAAATGGACCACTGGAGGTTTATCTAGTTGCCTTTCATGAGGGAGCATGCTTTTTTTTTTAAAAAACTGAATCATTTCAAAATAGCAGTATTGAAAACAAGTCTTGGGCCAGAAACTTGAAGCTTATATGCCTAGAGTCCATAATTTGAGCGTCTAAATAGGTGGTCTGATTTTTAAAGATTATGAAAACCTACAATTTCTATCAGTTGCTCTGAGAGTTGTGAATGCAGTACTCAGGAAAAAGGAAAGAAAAAAAATCGAGCCATTTTCACTTTAAGTGACTAATTATGAATTTATGGGTCAGGTCCTCAGATGGCATATATCAGTTCATCTCCACTGCCTGTAATGGAGCTAAGCTGATTTACACCAGTTGAGAATGTGGGCTTAGATGTCTAACTTTGGGCTCCTAAAGTTGCTTTGCTACTAGTTTTTGAAATGTGAGTGTTCCATTTGCCTGTGACAAATGCAAGATATATATAGTGGGGGGGTTATGTTTTAAAGTATTAGAAAATGCTAATATCTTAGGTAACTTTATACTAAGATGTTTTATATGAGAGAAGTCAGAGCTTCTTCCATAGGGAATCTTTGTATTTGCATTTTATCAAAGCTACAAACATATCAAGGACTTAAAGTGCTTTATTAAACAGATAGCTTTAGAGCAGTTTAATATTTACTCCTGGGGGAATTTTTCATCCTGTGCAAGGTGCAGATTTCATACCTCCCACAGATTTATTGGCTCCCCTGTAGAAAAATGGAGGAGCCAATAAATCTGCGGGGTAACACAACCCACATGCCCATTCCACAGTAGCTTGGGCTCAGCTGCAGGGAGCATAGAGAAGACCTGGAGAGGTGAAGGAGGCTGGACATACATGGAGAAATGTTAAGAGGGTGGGGCTGGACACATGACTGCATGTGACTGGGGTGACAGACTCATTCCTTCCCTCTCATAGCTGTTGCTGCAACCTAGGCTTGGAGGCATTGGGCTGTATGAGGCAGGCTCTGACCCCCAAGATTGGTCTATTAAAAAGGCAGGCCGCTCATGTTCATCAATTGTTTCCATTCCTAATCAGTTAAGGTTCCTTTACCTTGCCAGAGTGGTACAAAGGAGCATTATTGTAAATGACAAACTCAACTAGCAAGGTCTTCTGCTTTCTTTTTTTTCCTGTTCCAGGACGGCACTGTGGGGTTAGATTATAGTTTAGAATCTATTTTACTTATCCATTTTTAAAAATGCAGGACAATAATTAGCAAAACTGTACAACTTCCTTATGTGAAAACCTGTGCAATTTAAAGAGGCATTTTACTTTATATTACTTTTACTTGGGTGTTCTATAATTTAAATGAAAATCCAGGATAACAACTGGAATGCGGGGTCTTGGTTAACAAGTATTTCTAACTTAACCTTCATAGTTTTAGGAATACTGAAGTTATTGTAATCTTTTTCTGTATGGTAGTTTAAATTATCAAAATAAATTAAAACTTGAATGTGTATATCATGTTATTTTGACAAATAAAATATGCAGAATTTTACTTTTTTGTGGCAAAGGATTACTCCAGGATCAAACATTAACAGCCAACAAGTTTGAAAATATTTTTGCATACCTTTACAGTGGGCAGACAACCTTTTCTCCATAATTAGTATGAATGCTTCATATTGTGCAGCTATATGCAATATACAGATTTACAAATTGTACAACAATACATTATGGTGATGCAACAAAAAAAGGCTTTTTAAAATTAAAAGTTAGCTAACTATGAGAAGTAAACTAACCTTCTCTTATTATGGTAGGTGCCATGTAAAAAAATATAGGTAATTTAAATGGGTACTCATTTTAAATGAGCAGCCAAAATGTTAGTGTGCTTCTTGTTGATCTTCCATATTACAATGTAACATTTTTATTTAATTCCACCACACATCTAAAAAAAGCTATTGGTGGGACAAATCATCTAATTCTGACAAATTTCTGGAGAATATACGGCTTCCTTTGGGTACGTCTAGACTACATGCCTCTGGCGACAGAGGCATGTAGATTAGGGTACCGGACATAGTAAAATGAAGCGGCGATTTAAATAATCGCCGCTTCATTTAAATTTACATGGCTGCCGCGCTGAGCCGACAAACAGCTGATCAGCTGTTTGTCGGCTCAGCGCGGCAGCCATGTAAATTTAAATGAAGCGGCGATTATTTAAATCGCCGCTTCATTTTACTATGTCCGGTACCCTAATCTACATGCCTCTGTCGCCAGAGGCATGTAGTCTAGACGTACCCATAATGTGGAACAAGCATTAATTTTTTCCCTAAATTAATTATAGTAAAAAAGAGAACCCAACAGGACTTTTAGACAAACAGGTTTGTAAGATTTATTTTCCATTGCACATACATGAATTATATACAAGTTAGTAACATAAGTTACTGCTTAATTTCCTTACATTTTCTAAAAGATCGTTACAGCAGATATTTGCCATATTAAAACATCATAATCTGAAAAGGTAAATACAACAATTAAAAAAAAATCGCACATTTTAGTGAGGGAAAATTCAAATACATGTTTGTCTAGATCAGGGCTGGTAAGAGCTGTCATCAGGCCCTGAGCAATGGGGGGTGGAGAGAGGGGCTTGGCTCCAGGCCCCCAGGAAGAGGCCAGACTAGAGCAGACAGCTGTCAGACTGCCAAGAGCATGCTGTACTTCCTCCACCCAGCCCTCAGCAATGCCCGGACAGCACTGAACAGAGCTCTGGCAGTGAATGAAAGGGCCTAGAGTTCCAGCCACTGCTACTGACTCCATAGTGGCAGTGATGACCAGAGCCTCAGGCCCTTTTAAATTCCCAGGCCCAAGGATGACTGGCCCTGTTATCTTCCCCTCCAGTTGGTGGCCCTGGTCTATATGCTGTAACAAATTATATAGCTAAGAATATTACAGTTAGAAGTAGTTCTTTCAGTCCATTTGTATATATTTTTCTCCAAGTTAATAATTCTTTTACTTAGACAAAACTGGCAGATATTTCAGAGACTTTATTTTCTTCCTAGTATTCAAGATGCATCACATAAAATGCACTAGTAACTAAGACTTTATACAATTGCTATTAAAATATAAAAGGGCACCACACTTGAAAATAAGAAAAAACCCCTAAAACATATTACTGATTTAAAATTTATCATGAGATGAAAAGTGTTGAAGATGTTCAACAATAAAGCCTTGCCTACTACTTACGTAAAAGATTTTTTTAAAATAAATCACTGCACACAATACAAATGGGGAATCATACTGTAATCTTTCAGTCTTCAGTTACAGTAATAGTCTTCATTACTGTTCACAAATGAGCGTCTCCATAGCAAACCTATTCTCAAAATGTCGGATCTTTCGGCAATTGTTGGCTTCACGTTTCTGAATTCCTGTTGAGCATTTGGGAAAAGAGGAGGGACAACAAATGAGACAGAGTGGTGCATTTTAGGAAGAATGGAAGTACTGGTGCATTTACTGTCAGAAAAGGGTACTAGAGGTTCCTCTTAATTCACTTTGAAACATCTAGGACAGACTGATCAACTTGCAATTCTGTTCTTTAGCCAGAACACGATTCTTTGTACATATGAAAAAATTGTACATACTATTGATATCAAATTTAGATTAATGGGCCAATCAATAGTCGATGCAATCTGCATCAACTATTTGATTAGTCAATAAGGGTGCCTTTGCCTCTGAAGTGTAGCAAGAGCCTCAGGATTGTTGCTACACTTCAAAGGTGAAAGCAGTGCAGGAACACGGGGTCAGCGGGGGACTCAAGCAGTCACCCCTACTGGCCCTGTACTCCCTATGGCATTTCAAAGCATCAGCATCACATGGAGCCCAGGGTCAGCTGGGGATTCTGAGCCCCCCAGTTGACTCTGGGCGCCACGCAGTGCTGCCATTTTGAAACACTGGAGGGAGCTTGGTGTCAGGCTCCACGCAGCATTTCAAAGTGGCAGTGTCGCACAGAGCCCAGTGTCAATTCTGACAGTTAATAGTTACAGTTGATAGAAACCATTATTGTTAACTTTATATTTATATTGCAGGTGACTAAAAATCTTCTGCCAAAATATATTTTCAACAAAAAATGGCTTTTCAACTAAATACATTGAGAAAATGTATACCATAGACAGACTGACAGACATTAATGAAAATTTAAATCAAGACCCCACCACCGTGCAAACACGCAGAAGCTTCAAGGTGCCAATGACAGCAAGAACACTCTAAATTTTAATCAGCGATATTGTCAAACATAGCAGGCTGTTTACTGACCAGAAACTAGTGATGTCAACATGTGCTGGTGTACAGTTAACAGATAAGCCCGACTCATCAGTTAACCCACACAGTTACACACAAGGAGGCAGGAGCCGTTGCGCGTGGGGAACCGTGGAACTGCGGTACTGCCTCTCACTCCAAGGCACTGGGGGTGAGAAGGGCAGGCGGGAGCTAGTGCTCACAGGGAACTGGCTTTCAAGCTAGCTCCCCACACGTACCGGCTCCCGCCAAACTGTTTGGTGCCCCCGCCCCCATCCCTGCTACTACCTTCGTATACAGAGGCAGAAGGGAAGGAAACAGGCAAGAGCAGGTGCTTCCCATGAGCACCATCTCCCACCTGCCCCCCTGCTTATAATCATGTAACCACTGAAAATTTCAGTGGTTACACGTTGACAAAAATAAAAACATTTTAACATCCCTACTAGAAACGTCAACTGTTCCACCAACACAAGATAACTCTTTCAAGGGACTTTACCTTTCATAGTTTCTTTGCGCTGAAGTTTATAGGTTTCCTTGCCACGGCACAGGCGATAAATAAAGAACCCCAGCTGATCCACATTTTCAATGCGATCAGTAACAATCATCTGTTCATGAATCAGATAGGACTGAGGCAAGTATGTTCCAGCCTACATTAACAAAAGGCAACAGCTCATCATCAGAAGAGCAATCATTCATTCTTCAACTACTAAGTACATTCAAGATCATTCAAATCAATTTTATATAATCTCAAACAGCAGTAGTTCTATACAAATGAGGATTTGCAGTTTTGCAGACTTTCAAAATACATAGTACAGTACATATAGAATTTTCTTTTAAACATAAGGTATTTGAGTGTGTTTTAGTGCAGATATTTATTTAGGAGATAATAAAATAATATAAAATGTCACATTTTCACAACGGGAGACGTTGACACACAGTGTTCTTCCATTACAGTAATTCAATCAGTATCAGGTGGGGGGAGGGCTGGTTCAGAAGAGAAACAAACTTTTTCCAATTAAGGTTCACTCCTGTGGCCAAATCTTGCAGCCCTACTCACTAAACACCATCACTTACTAGCTAGTAGGGTTGTGAAAGGTTAACCAATTAAACAAGTGATGCTTACTGGTTTCAGTTAACCAGCGGGAGCTGAAGCAGCTCTCCACCCACCATGGGCAGAAGGCTGCTCCAGATACCCAATTACAACCTTTTTCTATAAGGTTTATTGAGAAACAATCCTACTCTAGGTTCGTCCTATTTTTCTGGCTCATTTTGATTCAGTCCAGGGATGAAAGTAACTTAAATTTCTTACAGGTACTATCGTATCATACCTCCCTCCCCTTGGTGCAGAAGGTTGGGGGAGGAGGGATTGTGATAAATTTCTTACTGGTACTGTTGTATCACAACCCCACCCCCAACTTCAAAGGGGGTTGTGATACGACAGTACCAGTAAGAAATTTAAGTGTGGGGTGGAGTGTGTGTGTGTGTGGGGTGGAGGGGCTTAAGGCAGAGAGTTGGGGAGTGTCAAGGTGTAGGGGGCTCAGGGCAGGAGGTGTGAATGTGGAGGTGGTATAGGAGATTGGGCCGGAGCTTAGAGATGTGGAGAGCTCAGGGCAGGGGACTGGGTATATGGGGTGTGTGTACAAGAGTCAGGGTTGTGAGTGAGGAAGAGATCAGGGCTTGAAGTGGGAATGTGGAGTGGTGCCGGGGGCAGGACAGGGGGAGTTGAGAGTGTGTGGGAGTAGAGCAAGGAGGCTGAAGCAGCTTGCTGTTCCCTTTCCTGTCCCTGTCAGGGAGCAAGAGCCAAGCATACATCTCATCTGCTCCTTGCCTTTCCCAGCCAAAAGGAAGAGGAATGCAGCAAACTGTGTACTTTCCCCTCACTCCCTGACAGTGACAAAGGGGCACAGCCAGCAACGTCCCTGTATGAATTCAGGAGGGGGAAAAAGCCCTAATGGACACCTGGGAGATGGGAAGCTTGGGACTGGGGCAGTCCTGGATGAGGGGCATGCACCCCGTCAGCCCCTTTCACCTACCTGGCTGACTGCTGCTTAATGTGCCAGCCTATAGCAGAGCCCGGGGAGCCAAGTTGGGAGCATGCACTGCTTCCTTCTGCAGCTGAGTGCCCCAAATGGCTGGTGCTTTTTTACCAGTGTGGCGCACCACGTAACTTTCATCTCTGGATCAGTCTCTTCCAAAATTTGCTGATTAATGTGAATTTTGAGGACTGTATTTGATTTGGTGATTTGGTCTTTCTTGTGTTTGGTTTTATGAGAATCAATCCCATTGCAGGCACATCCTGTTTTCTCAGCACAACCAAACCCTTATGTTTTACGTTGTGATAAAAGGAAGCCATACACCAAATTTGGTGGTCCTAGTTCTTACCATTTAAGAGGAGTTCTTGATCAGACAGACTCAGTCTCTAACAGAGTGTTTCTTAAACTATATTCCACAGAATACTGGTGTTCCATGAACAACTCGCAGGTGTGCCGCAACCTCTTCTTTGTTTTTGTTACTTCTTTGGAGTTTTTCTTTTGTGACAACAATTTTTTTTTGAAAAAAAATTGTCATAGATGTTCATAGAGTATTTTCTAATTAAGGAAGTTTTTCTGCTTTTCTCAGCGGCTGACAGAAGGCTGCTTGGGACATGCAGCACTTAAAGGGGCCATAAACGCATTTCGGTCTGACCTCCTGAGGTCTCCCAGGTTACTCCCCCCGGGTATTTTTTGTTCCCTCAACAAATTTTCCCTGGTGTTGCTTCTTTTTTTAAGAAGCCATCTGGCAAACCTAGGTGTTCCGCATAAAAAGTATTATTGTTTGATGTTCCATGGTCTCAAAAAGTTTAAGAAACACTGCTCTAACATATATAGTAGATAATGTTTTAATAATCAGTCTTTCAAAAATGTGATTGAATAGAAATAGATTCCATTTTGTACTATTCCTATTTATGATACTAAAGAAGAGGAAGTTTTTAATCTATTTTTCACTTGTGTGTTCAAACACTTAAGCTACTTGCAAAAAGTACCTTGGGATCCAAAAGAAACTGCTACACTGCATCCAGAAAATTACATTAGCATAGAATTTAGGATTTTTATTTTTATTGTCAATAAGCCACTTATGAGTTTCTATTACAAACGAGAGATTAAGTACAACAATGTTTTTTCAGTTCAGCCAGCATGTTCAAACAAGCTGATTAAGTGCTGTTCTTGTTAGCACCAAGGTAGTAGTTATATAATAGTTACTCTAGATGTGGTCAAGAATATTTCTACATTTCAAAGAGGCAAACATAAATGAATTGTTTTTTAGCTGACCTTATAAGTTCATGAAACAACAGAAAGCCTTCTAATTTAAACAAAGCATTTAGAAGTTAAAAGATCCTCCAAGTTCAGGTGAAAAGATTGTTTCTGTTAAGACACTGCATATTAAAAGTACATCATATGGTAAATTACAATCTAAAAAAAAAAAATCTACTATACATTTGAGTTTGTTTGATTGTTTGCTTGCTCAAGAACTCCTCCTAAACAGTAAGAGTTAGGACCATCACATTCAGTATACAGCTTCCATTTATCATCACTTAAAGCAAGGTAAAGGTTTGGAAAATGCAATGTGCCTGAAATGGCATTGCCTCATAAAACCAGACCAAAAAAAAAAAGAGAGAGAGAGAGAGAGAGAGAGAGAGAGAGAATCACCAGGCAGAGACTGGCTAGGGGTACCGCACTCCTCCCATCCGGGACTGCCCCAGTCTCTAGCCTCCCACCCTCCAGGTTAACTTCAGGGAGAGTGAGGGGAGCTGAAGATCCTCCTCCCAATTTGTATGGGAACATTGCTGTCTGTTCCCCTTTGTCAGACAGCAAGTGAACAGTTTGCTACATTCCTCACTCTGACTGGGGAGAACAAGGGTCAGAGAAACCTGAACCTGCCCCAGCTGCAGGGACATGCATCCCTCCCCTGGCCATGCCTGATGGAGATGCAGTGGCCATGGAGAGGCACTTTTCACTTGGCCCTAAGCTTCTGCAGTTACAGAGGGCTAAGGTAGCCCTCTCTCCCTGGGGCAGCCTTCATACTAAACCCTTCCCCTCTTCCCCAGCCCTACTCAAGAGCAAGGATTTAAATGAAGAAAAAAAAATAATTGAGTTAAGGACATGAGCAATGTCAGGTAAATCTACTAATATGTAATATAAGAAAAACTGACTGCCCTCTACTATAGTTTTAAGGAAATTATGCACTCTCACACAAATGCTTTAATTACATATTAGAGATGGGGAAAATCATAGCTATAAGTTATTCTTGGAGAATATTTGCCTCTCTCTCTCTCTCTCTTTTTCTCTCTCTCTCTCCCTCTCCCTCCCCTTCAGAATTTTTTGAAGTGGTGTCCCAGGTTTCACCAGAATGGGCGGGGCCGGGATACTCCCTGCTTCCTCACCCACAGACCAAGGTGGGGGAGTGCCCTTGCCGCCCCCCCCCCGAGGTTCCCATTAGGCACCCATGCTCCTGGCAGTGGGAGGAGACTTTGCACATTCCCCCCTTCAACTTCCAGCCAATCAGGGCTTAGGGCAGGGGAGCACACAAAGCCTCCTCCTCCCCTGCCAGGAGCGCGTGGCACTTCTAAGCACTGTGCACTGCTTGCAGGGCGGGGGCAGGGCAAAATAAACTTCGCATGCTCCTCCTGCCCCCAAGCCAATCAGGGTTTGGGGACGGGGGAGCACGTAAAATCTCCTCCCGCCCTGCCAGGAGCGCATGGCACTTCTAAGTGCTGCACGCTCCTGACAGGGTGGAAGAAACTTCATGCGCTTCCCCCTGCCCACAGGCCCTAATTGGCCTGGGGGCAAGGGAGCGGCAGGGCCCCCATGGAGGCCCTTTTGCCCACCCCTGATCTAGCTGGACCTTTTGTACATCACAAGCCAATAAGTTTCACATAGTTTTTTCCCCTATACTGATTCTACCAACTTGTGTTTGGCTCAAGTATACCTTCCAGAAAGGCATCTAGTCTTCACTTGAAGAAATCAAAAGATGACTCCCTTGGTATTTTGTTCCAATAATTAAATCATCCTCATTATTAAAAACGTGCATCTTATTTTACATATGAATTTATCTAGCTTTAACTTCCATCCATAGTTCTTGTTAGGTATCTCCCCTAGGTTAAAGAGCCCTTTAGTACCCCCCCATATTTACTTATATACTGTAATTAAGTTTAGCAGAACTCTGTTATTTATTTATAATTTTAATAGAATATCTAAGTTTATTTTTAAGCTGTTTTATTTTGTATTGATTTAAATTTTCACAGTTGTAGAAATAATTATAAATAAATAATAGTAAATACTTTCATTAAATAGTTATTGCTGGACATTGCAACATGTGTTGATTTAAATATTTAAAGCTTTATAACTGTTATAACACAAATTGTCAACATCACATGTAAAAACAAAGAAAATATCCTTAAATCAGATTCTAATAGTTTTCAAGCAACATTTTTCTTACTTTGCCTATCTGTACATTTTTATTATCTTTGATAGAAATATTTTTGTTGGTTTGTGTGTGCTGAAATTGACATTTACTAATAAAATCTAATCCTTGCAAGTCTACCTGTAATCAAGTCACCTCTTGATCTTCCTTCTGATAAAACTAAATTAATTGAGTTCCTTATCTCGTTCAGCATAAGGCATTTTCTCCAGCCCTTGGTTTTTGTTTTTTTGGGGGGTTTCGGCTCTTTTCTCCATCCTCTCCAATTTTTCAATGTATTTTTTAAAACATGAAGACTAGAACTGTATGGTAGGGATGTAAGCGAGTAGTCAACTAGTCTACTACCCGATTAACCTAAGCTTATGGGGTAGCTGAGTCAACTACTTGCATTCCCCCTCCTTTGCTGCCTCTTCATCAGAGGAAGCCAAGTAGGTTGGGGGGGGGGGGGGGGGTTGTTAAATCAGGAGCCGGTTCTGGGGGAGCCAGCTTAAAAGCTGGTTTCCCCAGCACCGTCTCTGAAGTGCTGTCTCCTCTCTCATGCTGCTGCCTCCATCAGAGGCAGCAGTTGCCACAAAGCCTACTCCGCATGGAAAGGGGCTGCTGCTGGAGCAGCCTCTGCCCAAGGCCAGCATAGGCCAATGAAGACAGGGGCTGCTCCAGCTGGATAGGCAGCCTGGCACAATTCCGGCTCGTGCCAGGTCCAGGACCTACATTCACTGCAGCTGTTCAGTTTAAATGTAGAAGGAGCCAAACTGCGTTGTGTGCCTACTACATTTAAACTGCAGAACTACAGCAAGGGTAGCGCCTCCTGGATCCAGCGCGAGCCGGGACTGAGTGCCTTCCCTTATTGAGTAATCATATAGTCAATAAAAATTCTATTGGCTACATGATTAGCCAATTATCCACTTCTTAACATCCTTACTGTAGAGAGTATCCCAGGAGGACCTTCATCAATGACACACACAGAAATAAAATCACCTCCCTATTCCTACTCACTACTTCTCTGTTTATACATCCATCGATTGCATTCGCCCCTTTTTCCACATCTCCACACTAGGATCTTATATGGATCTTTTCCCACATCTCCACACTAGACCTTTTTATGGAGTTACTTTCCATGACCCAGTTCCGTATTCAGTGGGTACAGACTGTATTCCTTATTCAAAATGTATCCCTTTTTATTTAACTATATAAAAACATTTTTTACTGGAATGGGCTCAAGTTTCCAAATGGTCGAGATGACTTCATATAACTGTCTTGCTCTCATCACCATTTATCAGTCTGCCAATCTTTGGGTTATCTGCAGATTTTATTATTGAAAAATGTATGTATTTTTCATATTTCTAAATCATTGGTAAAAGGTTGACCAGCACTGTAGACTGAGTACAGGCAGTCCCCGAGTTACGTGGATCCGACTTATGTCGGATCCGCACTTACGAATGGGGCTCTCTCGCCCCGGAGCTCGCAGGCAGCGGGACCGCCCAGAGCGCAGCGGTCCCGCCACCTCGAACTCCGGGGCCAGAAAAGCTGCTCCGGGTGCCCCTGGTCTGCTGGGGACCGTCTCCAGCAGACATGGGACACCTGGAGCAAAGCCAGGGAGGTGGAGGGGTCCCGCGCCTCTGAGGCTTTGCTCTGGCAAAGCCGGGGAGGCGCGGCACCCCTCTGACGCTGAGGCTTTGCTCCCTGTGTCCCCGGTCTGCTGGGGGAGGGGGGCGCAGCTAGTGCGCCCCCCCCCCC